TCCCCCTCTGAGTGGTTGACAGTGGTATCAGGGCACCATCTAGTTCTTCTGGTCTCATGGTCATATAGGCTGAAGATCACATGGTCTACCAGTCCCTTGGACTAATTGTTTCCATGCACCTTTGGTTGAAAACCGAAGTCTTGACAACAGCCTATTGACCCAGACTTCTCTGGGTGTTACAGAATGAGTGGTATATGCATCATATCTGTCTTCTAAAATCTGAAACACTGAATGCTGAAACACACTAAGTCCTCAAAGTTTTCGGATAAAGGACTGCTGACTTGTATTTTGAGAATACCCATTCACAAACTCATGACACATTATGGTGCTGTGCTTCCTGGGGCTTTGCTGGCTGGTCCCTTCTTTGGAAAAAAATAATTGATAACCTTAATACAATAATTAGCAGGCAGGTCTTTGTCATCCCCCCCACCCTTTTCCTTTAACCAACCTCAGGTTTCACTTCAGAACTGCTGCCAGCCACCCACTGGCACCCCAAGAAAGCCAGACAGTATAGGGTCCTCCCAGATTCACAGTGGTGTTCTAGGACTGCTTACCAGATCACACCTGGGCACGCTGGCCACAAACTGGGCCCCTTGGCAGCCAAGGATAAATCCAGCTAGATTTAGGAGGACACAAACCACAGAAAGCAGCACAAAGAGGTTGACCTGAAATGGCAAGAGGTGAATAGGCAGTTAGAAAAAGACAGCTGGTGCAAAATTCAGAAACAGTCTTGACTGAATAAAATATCTCATATTCTCTTCCTAGATAAAACTTTTTTTAAAAAATCACAGCCATATTTTTAACATACAAGCTTTTTTCCACATTTCAGAATATTTTAAATGCTGAGGAATGTCATTGATTCTCAAGACTTCTCAAGAATTTCAAGTCTCATTTTTCTGCCTTTGCAAATAGGCTTGATTACTCCCTTATTTTTTCTTGCTGCATTACACTAAACCCTGGCTACTTCCTCCTTGAGCCATTCTTCTTTTTCTTGAGTTCTTGGGATCAACAGTCAAGTAGACAAATGGGGAGCTCTCAGATATTAGTGGAACCCAGGCAAGTCAAGGAGTTCAGAGCCATAATAGGCAGAAGCCAGACAGAGGCCATTACACTTGCTAACAGTGCAAAAGATGTGAACAACCAACGAAATTCACCCAGGACCACAATCAGGAAAGAGATGGAGCCAGCCTGGAAGAAAAGCTGGCAGCTTATGAGTGAAAATCCTGATCTTTACAATTGATACATTCCATGTTATGTGTTAAGGAGCTCTATGGCATAGTGGATAAGGCACTTGACCGCTAACAGGTAGGTCAGCGGTTCAAACCCACCAGCCACTCTGCGGAAGGAAGACAAGTGATCTATTTCTGTAAAGATTTACAGCCTCAGAAATCCAATGGGGGTCATTATGAGTTGGAAATGACTCAATGGCAGTGAGTTTGGTTTTTTTGTGTTATGTGTTAGGTTAGTTGCCACCAAGTTGGCTCCAACTCATGAAGACCCCATGTGTAACAGAAGGAGATGTTATTCAGTCCTGTACCATCTTCATGATTATTGTATGTGTGGTAGTTAAGTCTGTGTGTCAACTTGGCTGGGCGTGGTTGAGTGGCTGGGAAGCTGGATGTAGTATTCCCCATGATGAGACTGGTAATCAACTCCATGGTGGAATCTACTGTGAGCAGCTGAGTAGCTGCCTTTGGGATGTGGTCTGTTTCCTATATATAAGGAGAAGCCTTGGGGACGCTTGAACCCTGCATGTAGCCGAGTTGTTGTTCAGCAGCCTACCATGCTCTGCTGACCTTGGGACTTTCAGTGGACTTGAATTAATGGCCTGCCGTGTGGTTTGGTAACATCAGGACTGTGTTTTTTTCCTTGTCAATCTTGGGCTTGTCAGCCTCAGCGGCCAGCAGCTGAGTGAAGAAAAGCCTCTCTCTTGAGTGGGCTAGGAGCAGGAGGCAGAGCTGAAGCCCAAGGTTGAGGGGCTTTCACCCAGCCTGACTCTTTGACTGTAAGAGAACAAACTTCTGTTTCTTCAAGCCATCCCATTTGTGGTATATTCTTGTCAGAGCGGCACTGGGTAGATAACCAGAACAGTATGCTCTAGTCTATTGTGGCCACTGTATATTTTGAATGCCTTCCAACCTAAGGGGCTCATCTTCCAGCACTGTGTTGGACAATATTTTGTTGTGATCCATAAGGTTTTCTTTTGTCTTGCTAACAGTCTTTAATTCTTTTTCTTTTTATTGTGATTTGGGTGAAAGTTTACAGAGCAAATTCATACAGCAGTTGATTCACATTTTGTTTCATGACATTAACTGTAATTCCCCACAATGTAACAGTTCTCTTCCCACTTCCTCCCTATAGTTACCTTTTCCCTGTGTCTTTCTTTCCTGTGCATTCCTGCCCCCGAGCCATCTCCATGTACAAATACTGCCCTTCTGTTCTCCCATGATCAGTCATTCTAAGGAGTATATCTACCTGGTGTAAATGTTCACCCTACATGCCTGTCTGTTATTTGGCTGGAAGCCACAGGAGTGAGTTCATTTCCAGACCTGAAGGGTAACTAAGGGCCATAGTCTCGGGGGGGGGGGGGGTCTTACCAAGCTCTATTAGACCAGTAAACCTGGTTGGGTTTGTTTTGTTTTGTTTTGTTGATGATTTTAGGTTTTGTTCCACGATCCATAAGGTTTTCATTGGCTAGTTTTTAGAAATAACTAGCCAGCCCTATCTTCCTTGTCTATCCTAGTCTGGAAGCTCTGCTGAAACCTGCCCACCATAAATACAAGCCATAGAAGGCCACAGTATTCCACAGTGTTGAAGTTCATCAAAATCAAATGTATCATACTACAAAACATGGGCAGAAAGAGCCAGTAATTGTTTTTGGAAAGATGCTAATTGTTTCATTGTAAGTACACTGCATTTTAAGTACCTGGTACTTTCTTAAAGGAATTCTAGTAGCACAGTGCCTAAGGCATCTGACTGCTAACCAGAAGGTTGGTGGTTCAAACACACCAGCCACTCAGTGGAAGCAAGACTGGGCAATCTACTTCCATAAAGATTTACCGTTTCGGGAACCCAATAGGGGTTACCATGAGTTGGAATCGACTCAATGGCAGTGGGTTTGGTATTGTCTTAAGGAAAGGCTTACATCCATAGCATTGGACCCATATTTAAAATATTTTAATTGCTTTTTCTCCTTGAGTTATAAATAAAGTCAACTTTTAAATAATTCTATCAAGAGGTAGTGTGGTAGTTATGTTTGTGTTTTAACTTGGCTGGCCCTGGTTGAGTGGCTGGGCAGCTGGTGGTAATTATTCCCCGTGATGAGACTGGCAATCAACTCCATGGTGGGATCTACCACAAGCAGCTGGGTAGCTGCCTTTGGGAATGTGGTCTGCTTCCTGTATTTAAGGAGAAGCTTTGAGAATGGTCTCATGCCTATGGCACGCTTGGATCCTGCATGTAGCCGTGTCGTTGCTCAGCAGCCTGCTGTGCTCTTAAGACCTTGGGACTTACAATGAACTTAAGTTAATGGCCTGCCATGTGGATTGGTAACATCGGGACTGTGCCTTTTTACTTGTCAATCTTGGGGCTTCTCAGCCTCAGCAGCCAACAGCTGTCTAAAGAAATGCCTCTAGCTCCAGTGGGCTGGGAGCAGGAGGCAGAGCTGGACCCCAAGGTTGAGGGGCTTTCACCCAGTCCCTAGAGCCTGGCACTTTGAATTTCGACTTAAAGCCTCCAAATTGTAAGAATAAACTCCTATTTGTTAAGGCCATCCACATTGTGGTATATTTCTTGTCAGAGAGGCACTAGGTAACCAGAACAGGTAGCCACTGCATAATGCAAGTGCATGAAAAAGTTTTTTTATTGGTATCCTATTGCTAGAAGCTGGCTGTAAAAAAGAAACTTAAAATAACAAAAGGAGCCATGATGGGGAAAGGAGCCACAGTGGTTAAGAGCTGAAATGCTAACCAAAAGGTCAATGGTTCAAATCTACCAGCCACTCTATGGGAGAAAGATGTGGTAATACACTCCCACAAAGATTACAGCCTAGGAAACCCTATGGGGCAGTTCCATTCTGTCCTATAGGGTAACTGTGAGTTGGAATGGACTAGATGGCAATGAATTTTTAAAGTAAGAAAGGCAATTTATCAAGTTATTCTTCTGGTTCCTTCTCTGCATACACTGGCTGGCTGTGTCCCTTGATAGAAGCCACAGCTCCTCTTAAGGCGGTCCTCTGTACATGACTCTGACTCCCAGATTCTCCTCAATGCTCCTCAATACTCCCACTTCTTCCTTAGGCTGAGAGCGAGTAACAGCCTCATAATTCCCTACACCTTGCATAAAGCTTTGTGAATAGTCTCTTCATTAACTATCAAATTACCTTAATTTTATTGTGCCATCTATTTCCTGCTAGAGTTCCTTGGTTGTGCAAACAGTTAATATCCCTAACTGCTGACTAAAAGGGTGGTGGTTCAAGTCCACCCAGAGGCATTTGAGACGAGAGGTCTGGCGATCTACTTCCAAAGCATCAGCCCCGGAAACCCTATGGAGCACAGTTCTACTCTCACACACATGGGGTTGTCATAAGTCAGAATCAACTTAACCGGCAACTGGTAACCTGGTATTTCCTGCTGGGACCTTGACTGATACAACTTCTCTGCAAAACTTCCTTTATATTTAACCTATTTTTTTCTGCTCTTTAATCCCAGTTCTATTGTTCTCTCCTTGCATTAGTCATCACTTGCCCGATGACGTGAACACCATGGGCTCTAGTTCCCAAAAGCTAGTCATGATTGGGATTTACTCTCGAGAAACAGAAAAGCCCAGAGTTTACAAAGAAATATCTTTCTAGAACTTGAAAGATGATAGGACACAAAAGGGCTGGTACTCCCCTCCCTTCACCCTGTACCCTTGAAGGGTAAGATGTGCCTCCCAAGAGTGGGTCCTCTCTCAAGGACTGTCAACATGAGGTAAGACTTTGATGCTATTGGTTTTATGTTTTGTTACTAACTTGAATCATGAGTATTTTACTGTAATTCTACTGGTTGCTTCTGCAAAACATATTGTTTTTCTGGTTAGTGTGCAGTTAACCTCAACTCTGGTCTCTTGCAATTGTGTTCCCTAGTTTGTTCCAGGTCTTAATGAAGAGACTCCATAAAAGAATGGATGGTAAACTTGGGTCAATCAAGAAGGAGCAGCACCTTCAACTTGTTCATACCTGCTAAAAGTTCCTCATAATCCCTGCCACATAAATCATTAAATAAGTATGGCTATCACAGCATGGTGTTGTTGAGTGTCTTTTTTAATGCAAAATTTCATTCTCTAAATAGGTTGACCTTTCCCTACTGCCTAGGGACTTTTATTTTGTTCCTTACTTCCCTACTGCTTCAAGCCCAGGATGTACCTAACTATGCCTGCTTAAAGAAATAAATTGTTCCAGTAATTGTGGGAAGGCAGAATAGCTTTGAAATGAATAGGATTTTTAATGGTGGATTGAACATAAGCATTTAGCTCTACAAGTTCCTCAAAGCCCACTAAAATGGTAGTAAAGAAAAAGTCCATATGTAGAAATTCATAAGGACAGAGAGACAGGGGAACAGCACAAATATTTTGGAAGCTAGAAAGCTGAAAGACAAGTGTTAACTGACTCAGTGGTCCTGAGAAAATGGAATCCTACAAAAACAATGAGAAAAGCCAAAACCCAGCAGGACTTACTCCTCAGAACCCTCAAGTGTTCAAAAATGGGTGGCACCAGATACCTCTGGAAGTGAAAGTGAGGTTAAAAATACGATAATTGATTGGGAGTCTATTTAAGAAGCAGTTAGAAAATAGTACAACCATTCAATGGCTCAAACATAGCAAGGATCACGGAGCTGGCGCAGGACAGGGAGGTGTTTCATTTTGCTGTGCATAGGGTGCCTAAGGCACTTGACTGCTGACCAGAAGGCTGGTGGTTCAAACCCACCAGCCACTCCTCGGAAGGAAGATTGGGCAATCTACTTCCGTAGTGATACCACCTTGGAAACCCAAGGAGGGGTCGCTATGAGTCGGGGCCAACTTGACAGCACATAACAACAACAAGCACTGTAGAAAACCAATGACAATTTCTAATAGAATTAGTGAAATAAAAGATTTTTTAAATATATAAGCAAGTTTTCTAAAAATGCTTTTCACATGTACCTTTTTCTAAAGAAATTACTAGAATATATACACCATCAAAATGAGGGATAAAGCTAAGAAAACATAAGCTGTGGAATCTAGGACACGGAGAATCCAACTCGACAGAGAGATGAAGGGAATCCCCAAACTAATGGTGAAAGGAAATACCAAGAGGAGATGTCGAGCCTAGTGGACAACCAATCCAGATTGCAGCAAGTCAGGAGAGTCTTCTAAGATGAAACTGGTAGAATACCCAATGTGTTTTAATATATTGAAAAGAGGCATGCAATGAGAGGAGAGTCGAAAGTTGAATGAATGATACATAGAAAAAACAAGCAAACAGTGAGGAAAAGACCATTGTTAATTTGAGGAAGAATAAAATGTTTT